AGGTCTGCGTTTACTACCCTCTGGTTTATATATAATATATAAATACAACTAAACAAACAGCATCCAAATACAGGTACCTATACGGTAGCCACAAGTTACCTGCTCGTTTTCTTCTATACGTGGCGAGAAGTGGTTTTCTGCCAACGTGAAAGAGTCGTAGGGCTGGAGGGGCTACATACGTGGCTACTATGTACAAGTAATTTGGCTAGTTTGTTGATTGGATTGTGATGATATTTTGTGCTGAAATATGCAGGTACATGGATTAGAATCTCTGGGGATGGAAATCAGAATAAATAAAACAAGTTTATTTTACATCCGATCAACTCTTTTATTAGCTCATCTGACATAGTCAGATGCAGCTTGTAGAATCGCCATGATCGTCCGTGCGTCCGTCCGTCCGTGCGTCCGTCAACAGTTGGGCACAAATCTTAACCGCTCGACGTACGGTCACGATATTGGGATGTGGGGGGTAATCCGAAAACGAGTTGGGATGTCGAAGCTGTGGGGTCAAAGGTCAAAGGTCAAGAGGTGTAAAAGAAGGGGCGAAACATCTCACTCCTTAACTTAAGGTATAGGGAGAGGAAATGCAGAATTGCGGCACAAATCTAAACGGCTCGACCTAGGCTCGTGATAGTCGGTGTATAGCATCATGTAGGAAAAGCCATCACTGTGCCGAAATGGAGGTCACAGGTCAAAGTCAGTGGGCACAGGGCCAGATTTTTAGACATTTCTGAGGACATGGTCTGACGGAGCGATTGAAAAACTTTTTTGTTTCAGCGGTGACTAGCATTTTTATGGCTTTATTGAAAGGACCATGAAATGTCCTTCTGCTGACATGCGAAGAGTAAGTGTCGGATTAACCTTTTGACCCTCAAGAGGAGGGTTAAACTTGGATGTTGACTGTCTGTTAGAAAGAATTTGACTGCCGGTTTGCTAGTAGAATCTATACATGCCTGGATGTATGAGGCTACAATGTCACAGTGAAATTTCAAAAGCTAAATTTGGTTAAAGAAGGTGTATGTTCTTTAAATCGTATAATTTCTATGTCATTCTGTACTGTCAGTATGTTTACATGTAACGTATGCCACTGCCAGTGGCTGCTGCCAGTGCATGTGTTGGTGCAGTTTTTGCCTGCCTTAATTGGTTACAGGTGGCAGCTCTCTATTGCAATTTGCAGCCTGTAGGCTTGCGTAGGTAAATGGATGAGTGCTTACCTATTCTGTCTTGCAAATAGTTGTTGCTACTACGTATGATGGGAGCTTCCATCTTTAACTTGAAGACAGCTTAAACGTACGCGCCATCTCGTGGCAACTTTCATAACGATCCAACGAACATTCTTGAGAAGGTTTCCTGATACCATCGCCTGTGCATTCCACTGTTTCGGCGTGTATGTGAACACATTTGGGACTAGCAGGGTTTACTAGAATCCCACACCGCGCCCCATTTGCGCAACGTAGGGAGAACCCTGACCAATTAGTTGGTCTAGACTCTAGACTCTAGTAGATGTCAAATTTTGTTTCCCAATGGCAATTGAATTTTAAACTCCATCATATCATATGACATGATATTCTGTCTCGTTATCAACATGGTTTTCGATATTGTTTTTATACTGTTGCTCAGTTAATCAATGTTCTTCATGATTAGACAGTAAGTCTTGACAAGTCTCAGCAGGTTGATAGTGTGTATAGAGATTCACCAAGACCTTTGATAGGGTTCCTCATGATCTTTTATTTTTTAAACACAGTCACTTTGTATTGATATTACTACCTTAAAACTAAAATAGATGAATGTATGTGGATCTCTGACTTTCTCAAGAATAGATTAATTTCTCTCATTTCATATTGGAATCTTCCTCTGGTTAATTGCACTATTGAAGTTTTCTCTGTTTGTACTGCAATCTACAGTTAATCTATTTATTTGATTAGCTGTCTCTCTTCGTCTTCGATATATAGTCCCTCGGACTAATCATTATGAAGTTACTTGATACTGCATAATTCCACACAAGTTTAGGCCTTTTAAATTAAACAGCAACGAAAAGCTTTATATTTAAATTTCCCACTGATATATTTTCATTAAATTACTCAAGTAGGCTTAAGCCAAATAATTGGAGTATAATCCAGTAACAATATGCATAAAAGTCGAGGAAGAAATGTAATTCATGGTAGCGCATTACAAGTTTTCACATTACGTTACCGTCTAGAAGAGAACTGCACATAAAGAAAAATCATGCCTGAAGGTAAAAGATTGATAATTTAGCATAATATTGATAAGCAGCAGTTGTTGGCTCACACTTTTTTTCATCATAACCCTCTATAATGTATTTTCTTGGATTTCTTCAATTCCAGAGAAACCACCGAATCGCAAGGAGGAATGGAAGTGAAGAGCGAAAACACTCTACTTCTCAGCAACTACGAGGTGTACTCACTGCTCAAGGAGCTGCAGTCGAGCGAAAAGGGAGGAAAGAAGATGCGTAAGCTGCAGAAGCATCTCGCGACGATATCGTACGAGACGATCAAGTACCTGGAGAAGACTCCGTGCTCGCAGCAGGACGCGCAGCTTGTACGAGCGTTCCTGACCGCCGTCCAGCCGTTCCGCCTCACCAAGGCCGAGAAGCTGCAGCTGCTCAACCAAAGGCCAACAACGGCTGTGGAGATCCAGCTGCTCATTGAGGAAAGCGAGGAGAGACTCAGCGAGCAAGAAATCGAACAGCTACTCACGATCGTTGCAACGACGTTGCCAGGCAGTGAGCCGTCAGAGCAGGATATGGAGCAGAGTTGATGGTAAATTTACTGGGCTGCGCTGTTGGCCACAGCGCCATTGACAGAAACTTCATGAGTAATTTTGACATTAAAAGTACATTGAAAAAACTTTTAAAGTGGTTGCAAAAGATATTGCATTTAAGACTCATGACAGTCATAACTATTTATGTTTCTGACCCTGAGCCCCTGGTTGATTAATTGGTGAATCATGAAGTATAAGTAATAAGTTACTTATAAATCATAAGTAACAAAGCACAAGAAATATTTATAAAATTCACATTTGTAAAATTATATTATATTCTATTTTATTCTTTGTGTCTGTCTCTCAGCTATGTATGTGTTGCCTGAATGGGGAAAATTGACTTTACCTTTTACCCTAAAATTGTACACAAAAATAAACAGAACACAGCTATGTCAAAGAAAACATTAATTATTTGTGCAATGACAGGTACATTTTGATACAATATTAGGGTTCACAAATTTAATAACCTTATTAAATAAATTGACTAGTGAAAACCTACATTCCACATTGAAATTAAGTAATAGGTTAACAATATCATATAATACAGGGGTTTTCCCAGGCCTTTTAACTAATGCATGTCGGGTCTGAAATGCTTTCAAAGCTAAACCTAATTTGTGATATCCCATAGATCCTTCAACATGCCCTAATTGCCTAATCAGTAATCATCATTCCTTAATTTCCAGCTTTGTTAGCTGGTCATGTGCATGGCAAAGTCATGCTGTGTTTTCATGGCTTGATGTATATCATGTCTCCAAACTGATCAAGTTTATCTGTGTATTAGGGCCACTTATGAAATGCATAATTGACTCCAATTAGTAGAACACCCTCCCCGGCCCACCCCCTTTCCCATAAGACATGTTTTCAAAAATTATTGGAGAGAACCCTGTAATAGTGTAATATTATGTTAAATTTTGGTCAACACAACTTCATAAGTATTCATTATGTAAACTAACATACCATCCAATCCGCCAGTTTCTTGGTTAAGCACAAAAGCATAATAATAAATACTTAGATAATAATTAATATCACATTGTAAATATTCATGAATTGTCATTTCTAGTTAAAAGAACACATTCTTGTAATGTAGGCAAATCGAAGTAACGCACTGCTTTATTGTAGTGCTCTCAATGTTCGCGCATAGTTTCATGGTTTAGGTGATTTCAAAGTTAACAGAGTAAACTATGTAGCAGCTGTAGCACCACTTGTGTATATATATAAAAAAATAGACACATTGTCATGTGTAAAGTTATTTCAAATATCCGGTGCATTAGCAGCTGGGCTAGAGTCTTGCATACGTGCCAACTGATGGACGACGTCAGCAAATCTCCCAGCAATGCCTTCTACACCATTACTCTGCACAAGATGCTCCTTTGTCTCATCTAGTCTGTGATTTATCTACCAAATAAACATATCAATCTTTTCAAACAAACATATATAGTGTAAGATAATTGCTATTAGAATCTAATACGTAATTCTTTAAAGTGCAATCATGCTCATCCGTTTACTTTTGCAGTGCTGCCTTTTAGTAACATAAATGAGATCTTGGTAATTCCTAATGCTACTAATAATCATATTTCTAATAGCAGGCTAAGGTATACTTCACCTCTTTGGTACTGTTTAATGTAGCCGAGTCTGTTTGCTTTTCAGTCTCCTCTCCTGTAGTGTCATATTTGAACTTCTGTCTTCGTTTTCTCTTTGGCTAAATGTGTAGACATTGTTTTGAAATTAATAATCTTTACAGTTATTCCATGAATCTCTGAACAAGCAGCTAGCAAAATGAAACATGAAATAGTAGTAGAAATACTAACGCATTATGGCTTTCATAACATTTTAGTCATCTTCGGGATAGCACAGCAAGACATTTATCTTGAACCTAAAGCTTCATTTTAGTTAGTGTTGTCAATCGGTTGTAATTTCGTAATCGATCATCGGTTGGACCCAAGTAACCGATGATCGGTTACAATCGGTTACTCGGGGTGTTGAATGCCTGCGTGTGCGTAACGTCGTGTGCATGTACGTGTGTGCATGTATGTGCTTGTTTAGCCCTGTTTACTGCTTGTTTAGCCCTGTTTACTGTTTGTTTTGCACTGTTTACTACTGTGTGTATAATACATGATATCTCTGATTCTCATCACTTTTCCAAGTTTTCTTGTTCAAGTTTTACATTTATTTCGATTCCCCCCCCCCCCAATGAAATCGATTATGGATTTTGATAACCAAGCGCTTGGTTCTAGCCACTGTTCAACCGATGATCGAGTATAATCGATGATCGTGACATCATTAATTTTAGTATATATTTTAATGACAAATTGAAATGATTTTTATCACTTATTTTTATTATACAATCCAATACAACAGAGTTAATTCAACCTAAATGTGAAATTAGTATACTTACATGCTTGTATACTCTGTTAGCCTCTTTCCTCTCCTCATAGGTAATTTGAAGATAATCCAAAAACTCTAAGGATCGTAACTGGCTTACCACATATAATCTGAAATGAAATCAGAAATATACATTTGACATATATATATTTTAAATATTTCTACAAAGATTTAAATATCATTAGATTGATATTGTTTACTTTTCTCTCCTTTCAGAATTTTAATATATATGAGTGTGACTGATCAAGGAGAAACGACACCAGACAAGTAGCAATGGGTACTTCACGGCTTGTCATGCGTATTGTCTCTGCATCAGTTGTAATAGCAGAGCATGCTGGTAGCATCATAAGGCATATTGCCAGTGAAGGCAAACTTGGTATCTTGGAGAAAGGTGTGAATGACTTGCAGACAGAGGCTGACCGCAGAGCACAGAGATTCATCACTGCGTCCCTGTCAAAAAGGTTCTCTAAGATCCATATTATTGGAGAGGAGACATTGACTCCATTAGAACAGGTGGCAGACAACTGGCTAGAGCTCGGATTCGCAGAAGACATTTTGGCAAAAAATTGTCCCCAGAATTTACTGTCCACCAAGGAGGAGGATGTGGTGATTTGGGTGGATCCATTAGATGGAACAGCTGAGTATGCGTACGGGTTTCTTGATCACGTTACTGTTTTGATAGGTGTTGCTATTCGAGGCAAACCCATTGCTGGTGTGATACACCAGCCTTACTATAACTATAAGGTACCAGGAGCTATCCTAGGTCGTACAGTTTGGGGCGTCGTAGGCTTGGGCGCATTTGGAATGGAGAAATATTCAATCCACTCGGACAAGAGGATAGTCACTACATCTCGGCTGCGGCGTAGTAAAACTAACACTGAAGCAATTGAGGCCCTTAAGCCTGATGACGTCATTTACGCAGGTGGCTGTGGACATAAAACTATGTTAGTGATTGAAGGAGCTGCCAGTGCCTATGTGTATGGTAACCCCGGTTGTAAAAAGTGGGACACTTGTGCTCCAGAGGCTGTGCTTCGTTCACTTGGTGGCCAGATGACTGATTTACATGGTAACAAGTTTCAGTATCACAAGGATGTACAAAGAGAAAACACAGGTGGTGTGCTTGCAACTGTATCTAATCATAAATGGTGTCTTTCTAGAATACCACAGTGTGTGAAGGATGTCTTGCCAACGGAAGGCTGAAGACTATGGAACATATAAGTTGTTAATTATATAATGAATATACACTAGAGGTGTAATGATACACTAGGGTCACGATACCATACGTAGGTCATGATACGATACACAGACAGAAAGAGAGATATTGTCAATAGCATGGTATGATAAATTTGTTATATCATGTACGAATTAATGTTTTTTATTATTAATGTTCATTTGTGAATTTATAATTAAATTACAGATTGGTCAATATTGTAATGTATGTTGATTGGTGTAGTTCACATAAATGGCCACATTCAAATTTTAGTGTTATAACTGTATAATATGTATTCCAATACTTTTATATTGGAATACATATTATAACAGTAAAATTAGAATGTGGCCATTTATGTAAACCACGCCAATCAATGATTCAACATACATTACAATACAATACAAACGTATTATGAGTTGTCAAAGGCATAGAAATATATAGTAAACAATCTATATATTTCTATGGCTGAAACACACCAAGACATTCTGTGTGTGCTCTAAACTAACCCATAATCGAAAGCCCGACTCATGTGCATGCCATAAACGGTGCTAAAGTATGTGTGCAGTAACGACACACACCAGTCAATCAACACTTGATTGTTGTGCCGTAACAATTTTGGCGGCAACACAAGCGCACCACATATATTGATCCAGATTTCTACGACAATCAAGGATAATTACGTGATACTGAAAAGGACTTCATGAAATAAATGAAAGAATTAAATTTAAAAGGAATTACATGTGCTTTAATGAATACCGTATATACTCGCGTAATAACCGCAAATTTGGCCTCACATTTCAACCCTGTATTTGCTCTGCGGTTTATAAGTGCGCCATACCATGAGGGGAAATATACTAGGCGCAATACTTGGTTACCCGATTCAAATTGAGGTGCAGCTTATAGGCGCCCGCGGTTATTACGCGATCATATACGGTAGTTTAGCTTGCCTTAATCACTGTTTAGCATCCATATCGCTTGTATCGATATACAGACGCTGCGTATCGATTATTGTATTGTGTGCTGCTGTATCGCGATTCACAGATTTATTGGTGAATCATTACACACATCAAATATACATGGGTGGTGTAAACGATTGTCATATTATATAATAAGCTTTTCGTGAAGTTATAAAAGGAAATTCTAGTGTGTTCCCCACATGTGATAATAAAACATAGATTCACATACAACTATTTTATGTGCACATTGTTCAAATCTTTAGTTTGATGAGGAGTGTAACTATGCAGAGATACAATAGCAGATAAGAGTGAGAATGAAACTAACTGTAAACTGGATTTATTACGAATAGCGGAGACATGTTCTATTCCTCCTATATATCGGATCCTCTAAACTTAGCCCGAGTCAATGCTACGCATGAGCGCTATATATTGTTACACACATTACCTAAAGTCGATGTAGTCTTGTGGACTCCCTCCATTAAAGAAGCTTGGTGCAGCTTCTGTGTTTAACATGGAAAGATATCTGAAAGTGAAAATATTCACAGACATTTAATTTATGCTCTATGCAATAACAATGTTTTAAATATGTTATGCATAAAAAATAAACATGCCCTTGCATATCAGTACTTTAAAGACAATATATTTCTTGATCAGAAAATAGACATCTCTATATTAGTGCAAGCGTGAAACAGTCGTGCCGCGAGAGCTCGCGAGCCGCAGGGCTCTATATTAGTGCAAGCGTGAAACAGTCGTGCCGCGAGAGCAATGGCAGCCGGTAATGCAGTGGTTGGAAACTATCGGCGGTGTAGCCGTAGGTGAAAGAGAGTAGGCCTGGCTAGTAGTAGTATAGTATAGAAACATTAAGAATTTTGTACTAAGTAAATAGATTTCGTATTTAGTTAGCATTATATTTTATTGAAACGCTTCAAGTGCCTGTGAAATATACGGCTATCACATGCACAAAAGATGCAGATAAACATGCGATGCGCTTGTACATGTATCGAGCGCTGCTCACACAGAGATTGCATCATTGTAAATACATTATCATGCATAAACTACTGAACTACATAGAAATGCTGTGTCTGAGCATAAATCGCATATCCGAATGGGTGCCGGTCCCGACGTGGCCGGATAAACGAGGTCGGACTGCAAATATATTCAAACTTTACCTTGTTTTGTACTCCGATTCTCCCTTAGTCATATGCCACCACCAGTTTACCTAAAAATCGTATGTGTTCTTCAAAAACGGTCTTTGAATACGACACGGTTTTACACAATTTTTCCAATTGTTTGCATGACATGGATGAAACTTTATAGCGGCGGCAGCACCAGATTTGTTACTACGGGACGCTGGGGGCTGTTGGGATATTAGGTAAGCACAGTAACAACACTTGTTTCGCTTCTTGCGAGAAGCGTAATGCACGAGATAAGAATACGAAACATGGCACAATTCGATGCCAAATATCCCCAACAGCCACCAGAGTCCCGTAGTAACAAGTCCGGTGCTGCCGCCACTATAAAGTTTCATCCATGTCATGCAAACAATTGGGAAAATTGTGTGAAACCGTGTCGTATTCAAATAACTTTTTTGAAGAACACGATTTTCAGGTAAACTGGTGGTGTCATGACTAAGGGAGAATCAGAGAACAAAACAAGGTAAAGTTTGAATATATTTATACACATATTGATAGAATAAATTCAAGTTGAAAACTACGCAAAACGCTGTAAAACAGTGTCATACTTTTCTCTATTATGGACTCTTGACTGTATCACATTGATAAAAACAAATTAGCAGTATAATACATACTTGTATGCATTTTCTGTGTACATACAATTTCTTTGGTCTTAATCTTTGCAGTTAACATCATTTTCATCTTTAATATTTATTTACCTGAGACTTGGACATCCTTTTCCTACAGCTGCTATGAAAATGCTGAGGTTGCTTATCTTTGTGTGATTGACCCAGAGCGTTTCTAACTGTGGTAAGAGTGGAAACTTCACATGGGAGTCAATTGGATTATGATCTAGTATCAGTGTTCGTAAACTTTGAAAACTTGCCAGAAATCGTATGTCCCTAACAAAAAAGAAAAAAAGAACATTTGTAACACGAATGAATGCGTAGAATAGAGATTTAATCAACGAGGTCAAGCTTTATTGTACATACACTAATGGCGTTTAGGAACCGTCTGCCTCGCCAGACTGCTAACGGACAACTCAAATATAAAGGCATGCTGTGATTGGCTGCTGCCAATTCACACCACTTAGTGGGGCTCATAGGGTCTATGTCCCCCAGGGTACTGCCGGAACATACCCTGGTAACTATCTGATAGGGTTAGGGAGTAGGCGTAGGCGACTCCCTAGATTCGTTAGTGGAGTAGGCGAGGTACGGTCCGGCATATTAGATAGTACCAGGGTACGTTCCGGCAGTACCCTGGGGGACATAGACCCTATCAGCCTTAGTGGGCGTTTCCAACCAGGCTATACAATGCGTGATCAACGTATACATGTTACAGTAATAGTGGAAACTTCACATGGGAATCAATTGGATTATGATCTAGTATCAGTGTTCGCAAACTTTGAAAACTTGCCAGAAATCCCTAGCAAAAAAAAAGAAAAAAGACATATAAATTACATTCATGTTCGTTTACATTCATGTTTGCACTTTTGGTCATGCTGTTCCAATGTCAATGATATTACATATATTATAAATTCATAGTGTGCGCCTGGTGGTGCTAGTTGTTAACCACATGCTAGAGATTATAGACTTTATGAGTACTAGTGGAACTTTCATGTACATGTTGTGACCAGAGGATATCAAAATCTTCTATATAAAGCCCTATTAATCAGTGTTGCTGCATGTTTTTTCAGGGATTGCACATCACGTCATCAATATATAGAGGGTTCCGCGACTTGCACTAAAAATAGCAATATTACCTACAATTCCGTGCCGCCGGCCATACTGGTAGTCAGAATTGCGTACACGTGTTACCGATATATGCGCAATCTACCTATTTTACATCGATAGATTGTACATGTACGATAGTGTTAAATTATAGTAATCTATATTAGCAGTAAGTGGATTCCGGTTTTGCAGACAAGTTTACCAGCGCGTGTTGGGGTGCTAGAGTTCAATATGATTGTGCAGACCTGGTTTTACAGGGTGTTGCAGGCAGGTTTATCAGCGTGGGTTGGGGTGCTCGTCTGCTAGAGTTCAATGAGATTACACATGTCCGGTTTTGCAGGGCTTTGCATGAAGGTTTATTAGCGTGGGTTGGGATGCTAGAGTTCGATGAGGTTGCCGCACAGTCGGCGGATTGCTAGATTGAGCAGATCGGGAGATTGCATGCAACACATATCATAGACTTGAGTTTGTTTACATCGCGAGTGTTCAGAAATTTCACTGATTTTACTGCATATAGCTATCAAACGCAGCTTTTTATAGTATCTGGTGTATGCACATTTGCCAGCTGTCTGAAGTGTACGTAGTATGGACAAATACTTTGATTCACTAGACAACGTAGCCAAAGCACGCTATCTCGAGAAAATTGCGTGCATTGGGAATCGACACCCGTACGAGAATGGAGCGAGGACCACAACTTGTGCCCATCATGTACTTATTAAGATCTCGTGAATTGACTACCGAACATTCTAGCCGAGTCCATTTTATACTATCAAGGACTTTCAGAACCACAAAAGCCTGGATGTCTACGATCGACTAGCTGTTCTACGGTTGGGTTAGTGGTGTATAAGTCTAAATCTATCGTCGCACATATTAGTATCTACATATACTAATAATTAGTATATGGCTCTCTGTCTATTTGTCGAATTCGACACAATGAAGCAAATAATGTAGGATCACTTCTTTGGTTTTGCACACCTCAATGGCTCATAGTATTAGTACATAGTCTACTTTTAGCTTACCTTGACATCAAAATAATCACCTTGACATCAATTTTCAACACCAATAAGCAGTTTCCTACCACGCGTCTCACAGCTGCATGTCCTTTCAAGATCCAAAAGTTCTGTCTGATTAATGACAAGACATACATTGGTCCCAAATGACCGGCCAAGGAATGGTAATGCTCAATAATCAGATCCGTCACGTGATGCCTACTAGGTAGAATGAGTGGGTGTTTCGCGTCAAACCCAATCGGCGCATTTTCTAGTCGTCCGCCTACCCTGAGAGCTCCACCACGAAGTATGGGATTCAATTTCCGAAGAGGGTTGCATTTCCCCTGTGAGGTCTTCTTCCCGGACGCGATTTCAGGAAAAGCTCTTCGCTGGACGTTTCCGACAATCTCCAGTGTAGCATTTCGCAATTCTTTTACCGTCAAATTTCCCTTCTTCACGTCTCCAGTGTCCTTCCTTTTCAGGCAATACTCCTTGTAGCGCAGCAACCAGGCCACCGCTCTTTGGAGTTTGGTCCAAGATGAAAAGCGACTGAGCAATGTCTCCATGTAATCCTCCTGAACAGCGAAAACCGACTTGGTCTCTTGTTTGAGTTCAGGGTCTTTCTCTTCCACGTCAGATATGAAGTCAGGTTGCTTTGGCCAGCAGGTTTCGTCTCCCCACAAAAAGCCTGCGCCAGACAACCATCTTCTCATTTTCTCACTCTCACTAGATCTGAAACCCCTTGACGCGTCATCTGCAGGGTTTAAATCGGAATTGACATATCTCCACTGGTTCGGCATCGAATCTTCATGGATTATTGCCAGACGATTGGCAACGAATGTCTTGAACCTCTTGGATTCGTTTCTGATGTACTGTAGAACTATCATTGAGTCTGTCCAAAATATCGACTCATCTACTTGAATATCCAGTTCTGATCTAATCGTCCGATCCAATCTCACCGCCACTACGGCTGCCATCAGTTCAAGTCTTGGGATAGTTACGGTCTTCAAGGGAGCTAGCCGTGATTTCCCCATCATAAAGGAACAGTGAGTCTTTCTGTCATTTGCGACGAACCTCAAGTAAGAAACAGCCCCATATCCGCTCTGGGAGGCGTCAGCAAAGTGATGTAACTGAACTGTGACGGGCATGTCGCATCCTTCCGGCTTCAGACACCTGGGTATCGATACGCCATCCAGCAGGTCTAGCCCGTCAAGCCATACCTTCCAGCACCTTGCTTCTCTTTCGCCTACAGGTTCATCCCACCCAAGTTTCTGTTTACAGCATACATTTCTTGCAGTAATCTCTTTGCTGGAAAGATCACAGGAGCCACAAACCCCAGAGGATCATACAGGGAACTGATGACCGAGAGAATCCCTCGTCTCGTGAAGGGCTTCTGCTTCTTTACAATGCCAATCTGGAATGTGTCTGCTTCAGTGTTCCATTGCACACCCAATGCCCTGTCGACTGGCAAATCTCCCAAGTCCATGTCGACTAGCGATGAACTCTTGTCTTCCTCTGCTATTTGACCCAAGACTTCCCGGCTGTTGCTAATCCATTTCGTTAACCGGAATCCGCCTTCTGCTAGTAGGTCACACAACTGTCGAACAATGTTCGTAGCATCTCCCACTGACTTGAGAGATTTCAAAAGATCATCGACGTAGAAGTTTCTTTCTACCGTTTTAATTGCCTCAGCATCGAAGTGTGAAGGATTAGTTACGGCTGTCTTCCGTAGGCTAAAGTTTGAGCAGCTGGGCGACGACGTCGCCCCAAACAGGTGAACTCTCATGCGGTACTCTTCTGGTTCTTTGTCGAGGTTGCCTTCCTCCCACCACAGAAATTTCAAGGCATTACAGTGCGCAGAAGTCACTTTCACTTGGTGAAACATGGCTTCAATGTCAGCTTTCACAGCGATCGGCTCTTGACGGAACCGAATCAGAACCCCGACCAAGCTGTTGGTCAAATCAGGACCTTGTAGCAGCTGATCGTTCAGTGAGGTGCCTTTGTATCTCGCTGCAGTCAAAGACTACTCACAATTTCTGCTTGTGCGGATAAACAACGGCGTGGTGTGGGAGATACCAGAATGTACCTCCCTCTGCATCAGATGCTGAGGTCACCTTGGTAGCGTACCCTTTCTCAATGTAGCTCTTGTACTGTCGGAATAATTCTTCATCCCGCTGGAATCTTCTCTTAAGAGACTGAGAGTTGTTTAGCAAGTATGGAGGTTCGTTACGCCATGGTAAGTCAAGACGATAATAGCCGTCGATGTGAACAATCGACTTCTCCATTCCACTCAACGCTCTGAGATCTTCCACTGACATCACCTGATCAGCACTCACTATGGGTTCATTGTAGTCCATCTGCCAAAATCTCTCGACTTGTTGACATAAGGAATCTTCTTCTGTGTACGAAATTGATGGAAGCTCTTTGTCTGTCAGCTTCATGCTCTCTTCCTCCCCTCCTCCTTCTCCACCATCTTCTCCCCTCCTCCTTCTCCACCACCTTCTCCATTCTTCCCTTCCTCATTCTCCACCAGCTTCTCCCCCTCCTCCTTCTCCACCAGCTTCTCCCTTTTCCCCCTCCTCCTCCACCGGCTTCTCCCCCTCCTCCTTCTCCACCAGCTTCTCCCCTCGTCTCCGTGTGCTCCCCAGGCTTCTTCCCTTCTCCCCTTCCTCGATGTCGTTCACTAGCTGGCTCCCTACTCACGCCTACTATATCTGAGTACTACTCTACCTCTCGCTTCTCTGTTGCTCGCGCCTCCTCCCCGCTTCCTATCACTGGCTCCTTCGCTACCCTCTGTACCAGAGATTACGAGAGTGCTGACGAGCTGTTCACTGGATATGCCCGAAACGCCCGGAGATAGAGCGCGTTAGGCCATTCGGCGGGGGCGTTTGCAAGTTCAGAGTCTGTGACGAGCTGCTAAAGCCTAATGCTTGACGGTCACTTGCGATACCGTGGTAACGCGAAAACTCCAAACCAGCCTCGAGCAAATTTTGGCCCGAGCCAAATCTAGCCCATTTGGCTCGAGGCTAAACCGATGACGTGTGAAACGCGACTTTAGGAATATTGTATACGTTTTTAGCACATTTTGCGAAAATCAGTGGCGGTGGTCACAAACTAGACCTTGAACAATAAACTTGGTATAACTTGGGTGTTTGTATTGCTGTTGCTGCGAATGGTAATTTA